AAATACAAATACTGAATGCTGCTAATTGCATTGGTTCGAGCAACAACAAGTGAGTTCAATATCCTTTCAAGCTACTAAATGCTTGAATTAAGTTGAAATATGGTGACTAATTTGAGAAAATGAAACATCGAACATTAAAATTTAACATGTAATACTTCATAAAAAATTTAATGTGGCGTTGCCATACTCATCAAACAAGGCATCCGTTACGATATCCTGCCCTCAAGGTAATATTATGTTGTTTGCCATCTATGTGCCCCGTCAGTGCGAGGACAGCAATGGCACTTACAAGCTCTTCGCTGAACACCTCGCCAAACTTACCAACAATATGATCAGCTTCGTGGTAGCTGGTGCGCTAAATGCTCGCCATACACTGTGGCGTAATCATGTTTGCAATAAATATGGCATAATCTTTGCAGACCACCTCAGCTTTGGAACGTGCATCATCCACTTTCCAGATGAGCCAACGTTCTTGTCACCGGCGGGAGTTACAATAACCCTTGACGTGTTCCTATCGGACTTGGATCTATCGAAGCCCGTTACACACCACATTCCGGTGGTATGCGAGCTTGAATGCACACCAACTCCAGTGCCAGCCAAAAATGAGACGGGATTACCATCGAGTCAACTAGGTGGCCTTTAGTGGCATTGTGGACACCCACCTTAAATGTAATCCAGCTCTACCAACAATTGTAAGTATCTACAACCATCTGACGGTGTTCGAAGAAACCAGAATAAGCCATCCACGCCGCAGCAGAAGCCTGTATACGCTGGATTCCGGTGAGGCGACAATTTACTACGATTGACCCGTACATCCGGCAACTAATTCAGCAACGCAACACCACCCGACGGCAGTTTCTTGCTGTCTACAGAAAAAGCAACAAGTCACCGATCTCAACCGCATGGCAACTATACGAAACAATCTGTTCTCCAATTAAATCGGATAGATAGGCGACCACTCAATGTCGTTCTGGAAAGTACCGGAAATTCTGAAGCGATACCACCATTGAAGGACGATGCAGGTCTCGCCTCAAGAGAAGATAGAAGCCATCGCCATCAAACTTGTTCTGGTACATCATATCGGTACCAGTGAAGCGTGGCAAGAATATGAAGGCCCCAGGAAACGATAAAATTTTCAACCTGGCCCTGAAGAAGCTGTCCAGCAAAGCCTGCGGTTTCTTTCCACTTGCCGGCCAGGTGGAAGACAAGGAAAATCGTTCCCAATCTGAAGCCTGGGAAGGATCCCACTCAGCCGAGCATCTTTAGACCCATCACACTGCATTGTTGTCGGCGGTGAGCAACATTTTCGAGCGGCTCATCCTTCAGCAACTGATGGAGCACATCAAAGACCACCAAGTCATCATCGCGGAGCAGTTCGGCTTGAGGAAAGGACATTCCACCGTCCATCAGCTGATCCGAGTGCAAAATATTTTTAAACGAAACAAATTATTTTCCAACAACACCACCATGGCATTACTGGACCTGGAGAAAGCCTTCGACAACGTGTGGCATGACGGATTAATCCACAAACTAGTGCATGCGAACTGTTCTGTATACCTGGTCAGGATGATAAGGAGCTACCTAAGCGAACGACATTTTCGAGTCCATCTACACAGAACCAACTCTGAACTCCATGAGATTTTCACATTTGACATACCACAGCTCCCCAACAGCTGTAGCTTGGCGTTATATGCGGATGACAGTGCAATAATAGCAAATGGACGAGTGCCTAAGGATTAGCGAGCCCGGTTGCAGCGAGGAGTGATAAATTATGTTTCCTATCTCACCAGCTGGAAAATCAAAGTCAACGAGGCATAAGCGCAAACAATAGCCTTCAAGCATCGAAAATCGCCAAAGATGTCCCCACCAACGACGGGCTGTCACGTCACTGTGAACGACTGTCCCATCAACTGGTCCAGCAACGTATGTTACCTCGGCGTTACCATCGACGATAAACTCCTGTACCGTGAACACACGGACAAGCTGAAGCAGCGATGCATCGGTCTCCTGAAATCCCTCTATTCGTTGATAAGCCGACGATCCCGGCTTTCACAGCAGAACAAGATGTTGGTGTTCAAAATGATCCTCGCTCCCGTACTCAACTACGGCATGCCTTTGTGGGGTCATGCCCTGGACCCACAAATGAAAGCTTCAGACAATCCAAAATCGACTGTTGCTAATCATCATGATTGCTCCGTACAACACGAGGATAGAAGACCTGAATCGAGCTACCGGATGTAAGACTGTACAGGATCGTATCGAGGACTCCATGACTAAAATAATGGAATAAACATCAAATTTAACTAACCTACAAATCACAAAAAAAAAATGGAAAATTAGAAAAGTGCCTTAGTGGTGGATTTCTTGTGTGTGAATAGTTAAGGTACAAATCAGTTCAGATCTGTGGAAAATCGTACAATAAGACAATTACCGATAGAAACTGGCAAGATGTTGAATGAACAATGCTTTAATTTGCGTTGTGAAAAATTGTTATTCTGATGTAAACAAACGGTTTGGTTGACGTTTCTTCTCGAACTCGCGTGGCGCACTCTACGTCATTTTCTGGTTTGTTTACATTTTAGTTGAAAGCCCTTTTCAAATGTGAACTACTCGGGGTCTTTATCAAAACTGCCGTAAAAATCTAAAAAAAAAAATCAGAGATCCATCTGAGTTTCGAATCAGCCTGGAAATTCTTGTGGAAGCACATCGCATCTGCTCTTCAATGTTCTTGCATTGAATTGCAGTCAGCTCTTGGAAGTTAATGATGTCTTGAAGATGCAGAGTTACATCTCTAATTTCTTGCTGCATTCGATGCCAAAATATATTCTTGATAGAAATGATTATAAGTATAAAAAAAATTTTAAAAAAAAAACGAGATTATAATAAAAACTTACTGTCCGCCTTCCGGCTTGCTGCAACAGCTGCAACCTGAGTGTGACTCCGATGATGAGAAGACATTATTCTGCATCTCGATGTTTGATTCGGATTTTAGTATTCAATACAGCTCTTCTTCTTCTTCTTCTTCTTCTACATTCTTTTATTTAACTCAGAAAAAAAACCCACCGACCTGGGTTGGGATTGAACCCAGAGCCATTGGGGTGAGAAAGCAGTCACACTTGCCACTACACCACTGGCGCCGGCCTCAAGACAGTTAAAATCATCAACAGTGAAATATAAGTAGGGTAAATGATGGCTTCGGCAGCCATCGACTGTTTTCGGCAACCACAATTTAAACGTTAATTTCGATGTATTTTCTCACTAAAATTCTTCGCTGAATGTATTTAAACGATTCCTTAGTTTTTCAGCTTCATTCCTAATACATTTTTACAACTGACCAAACCTGTTATGCCAGGTGTTTCTGCAAAAGAAACATAAGCACATCAAAATACGGCTGATTTCGAGTTGCCGATAATAGAACAGCTGGTTTACACGCAGTTTAAACGGAAAGGTTGCCGAAGTAAAAGAGGCTGCCGACAATAGTCACACTCACCTGAGAAGTTTGTAGCGCCTTAAAAACGTTTTCAAACCGTTTTGGACAGTTTTGTTGATTGGAATGGATAGAATAGCTAGCAGCAGATGAATGTAAACAAACAGACACATCATATGTGTGCGTGACACTGATAAAATGCTAATAGAAGTGCGGAAGCTGCTTAGATTGACGAGAATACGTAAATTCCCCTATTTTGCTGCTGTTCATCATTTTCAAAACCAACGAGGTTCAATATCTAGCTGAATATTTCAAAAAGTCTTCAACGAACTTTAAACTCGAATTGTTGTTACGTTGCGTTGCGTTTGTAACGAAGTAATTCGTAGATTGCATACTGGCAGCTGACATGTATCTATTTTAACGTTCTTATTTTGATTGCTTAAGCAAAACTATTTGGGAGTTCTCAGATAAAAATTCAGAACAGGAAAAGCATGACAATTACCATTGCCGGCCAGGCCCATCTTCTCCGTTACGGGGAAAGGAAGGATATTGTTGATGTAACAGCGACTCACCGACGCTCCCATACGACCATGGTAATTGTTTTATTTTGGAGGAGCCTAGGAGTAAACCCACGGTCTAGTACTACACTATGTTTGTTTTGATTCACTATGAAAGTTTGACAGATAAAACGAGGGGTTCGTGGATTTTCCTATGTTTCGAGGGGTGCATCGATTAGCTTGGGACCTAAGATAGTACCAGAGCTGAGCCAAAAAGTTGAGCACGTTTCTTCGGGACCTTCTGATCTTAGAGTTACCTCTTTGCTACTACTGGATTGTACAGGATTGTATTAGAATTTTCCGAGAGGGGCCACACATCTAAATCTCAATTTAAGATGCTCAAAACATCTCACACTAGCGAATCAATCTTCGAAAAATCTTCTTGCATTTCTCGCATCTACTTGCATCGAGCATCATCTTTTTGCAGGAAATCTTCAGAATTGTCATCAATCTTCTTTCTATCTACTCAGCGTGCAAGCAGCTAGCCACAGCACAACACAATCTTTCCTGCAGCGTAGATAGAGTCGTCCCCCTCGGCATTTTCACCAAATGTACTAGAATGTTTTGGTTCTATCTCTTTCACTCTACTCAAAATGCAATGCATTTCATTAAAAAATGACAAAATGAAACACTATTTTCACACTGTCAAGGATCATTGCACACAAAATCTACTTTGTTCAAATCAATACAAAAATACTAGCCCAGCTGGTGGATGTTGGCACAAGCTTCTTAGAAAATTATATTACAGCGAACTACATTATTTCAATTGATTTCCTCGCCAGTTAGTCGTCTGTCACTTCGTTTGTGTTAATAACTGTGGAAGTGCATCTAGCACAAAGAAGAAGAAGAATTCCAGCAAAGAGTTAGTTTACTGACCCCATTTCAGCAAATTGTTTTGCTAAAACTCAAAATCGAACTTTTGGTGTGCCGTCACAGTTGGACAAATTGTGGCAAATATTTGTCATTTGTATAAACAGTGTACAGCAGATACCTTAATTCCACAGCATTGCACTTACCTTCGATGAACTGCGTCTCGGAGTGATCCCCCAGGAAGCTTCTCCGCTCGATGTAGCACCGCACGGCCGTCCCCAGGTCCATGAAGGCTACGAATGCAATCCACCCTCGGAAGGCGTACAACAGTTTCCGCTCCATTTCGCTACCGTCTCACACAATGTTGCTATTTGATTCTAAATTCACCCGCTACACAACAATGTTGCTGTTCCCTTTGTTCTTTCTTGATTTGACACTCGTTGATTATTGTTGGCCTGCTTGGATTGATTGTTACTTTGTTGTTGTTGTTGTGTACTGATCTGAAAGTAGAAAGCGAAATAACATTGTCAATCAGAAAAGTGTGACGCTGAAAGGGTGGGGACAATTTTTCGATTTCAATTGCAATATGATGGAATCGAGTGGTAAAAAAAATGGAGACCGCTTGCGACAGTTTCTAGTTTATCGTCGCTTTCTCCCCATGCATACATAGGTACCTACATACATAAATGCTCAGCACGTGTTTGACACAGACGGGAAAATGTTTCGTAAAGCTCTCAGGAAAAAGGCGAATAAATCAACCGAATGCCACATTTTATTTGAAAGTTGGGTCGGAGCAGACTGCCAAATGCGTGCTAAATCTAATGTTATGAGTGAGACATACTAGACTGCTGCTGGCGTCCGTCCGCCAGACTCCAGTGTTTTTCCTCTGGATATAGATGTTTCTGGATGCAATTTTCTACCAAATTAGCTTTGCTTGGAAGCTGGAAAATAACTTCTTTCGGATCATAAATCTACCCTAGGGATGCTGTTTCATCAAAGCAACCTACATTATATATCCGCAAACTCAGGTGATGACGTTAGCCTACTGGGTTTTGGAGCCAATTCCGAATGTCCCATACACAGACATAGAGACACATTGCATCATTGAGCCCGGACACAAAAGCGACTGATGAGATAGATTGAAATCGAATTTTGCGTTGGATTTCCGCTGCCAAATTCCATTATGGACCGCACTGTGTGTATGTACAGTTAACGCATGCAGCAGTAGTACCTGTGACTGTGACCGAAAAAGTGGGTGTGCGGAATGATCTATGGGCATTCCATTGCCATGATTGCCATGGTTTGGCAGGCAAATCCCGATAATGAGTGGATGTGAGATGCTCCTGATGATAGGATGTGTCAGGATGAGGGCAGATTCTTGCTCCATCATCACGTGGTGCAGCCGCTGAACCGTGTCGATTGACGTCGAGACGGGGGGAACGTGCCCGGGAAAAATGTTCACTGATGAATTTTCGGTAAAAAGAGTGTTCTAACCGACATGATTCTGTAGCACTGATGACTAAAAAAAACTGTTAAAACATTATCTGTTGTGAACCAATCCAGGCACCCCTCGTACGCTGTCATTGTTGGTCGAAAATTCTCATGGCCTGCTTTTTCGTCGGTCTGATTTCGATTAGCTGTGGCGTTATGGCCATTGTGCCCTACTCTTGCGTTGAACTACTCTTGTAAATCAGAGGAAAAAAGAATACCCGCTCTTTTTTTAAGCAGCAAATCAATCTTTGCTTTTTTCCTTCCTTCCTTTTCTGCTTGACAGAATTCGATCTCGATAGGTCACTCAAAGCGTGCTTCGTTGAAAACGTTGCGGAAATAGATCCAACCGGGCACTTAAAGCCGCCACCCGTAGAGCTCCGGCTCACAAAAAAGGTAGCGAAGGAAAAGCTTCTGCTTCATCATCATTATCGGTGCTCATTTATCATACAGTCTGTACACCAACTCGGGGAACAGTCAAGCAAAAAGGGTTCGATGCACTCGCATTGGCGTAGATAATGGCGGTGCATAGGATGCCTAGCCTCCTTCAGAATGATCCAGGCCCCCCACCAGATTGTTTTGGTGATTCTAATATAGACAATATAAATTATATAAATCTTCAAACAAATTCTGGAGGGGGCCTGGCCCCCTAGGCACCCCCCTTGGCTACGCCAATGTGTGCACTCGGCTTCGATGAATTAACTTTATATAGAATACCACGGCTGCTGCTGCTGTCGCGTGACATTTCACATTTTCGCTCCCTTTGATAACAAGCCGTTCTCTATCAACGATACACGCGCTCGAATCGAAGCAAGCCGGTGTTCAATACGACACACACATTAGCACGTTTCCCCGAAAACCATGGATCGCGGCAACAACAACCAGTAGTGGTTCCCTCTCGAAGCATCAACTTTTTTTTAAATAATGATGTGAAAAAAAATGATCGAATCTGGAGTGAATTTAATACCAAAAAACGGCAAAGACCACCCAATTTCCTTTCTGGGTAGTGGCTGAAAGGAATGATTATTGATCGTCGAATTAAATGTACATATGCTGAAATACCACGAACTACATCGGCATCAGCGCCCATTTCCGTCAGAAGCAAACATGAATATTTACATCCATTATTCTCAAAAACAAAAGAAGCGCTTCTACCATAGAGGTAACTCTAAGACCAGAAGGTCCCGAAGAAACGAGCTCAACTTTTTGGCTCAGCTCTGGTACTATCTTCGGTCCCAAGCTAATCGATTCACCCCTCGAAACATAGGAAAATCCACCAACCCCTCATTTTATCTGTCAAACTTTCATAGCGAATCAAAACAAACATAGTGTAGTACTAGAATTTCGACTAGAATGGGGTACGTTAATCGATTTGCTTGGGACCAATAGGCTAGTCAAGTAGTGAGCCAATTTTAAATCGTTAGTTTCCAACCGGTGCTTCTACTGTGTTACCTGACTTATAACGAATAAACGTTGTATACGAGTATTCCGAATACAACGTATAGTTCGTCTAATTTTACATTGCAAATGCTATGCAAAATTAGACGAGACATACGTTGTATTCGGGATACTCGTATACAACGTATATTCGTTATAAGTCAGGTAACACAGTAGCGATCAATTAATTCTACCACCGATGTTAATCCAATGTCGTTTCAATGTGTTTGGACGGAATTGAAACTCGTATGACGGAATTGGAATCATGAAGCAGTGTTAAGCGCCCATTACATGTATCAATTTATTGACAAACATCGTATTGTCAATTTTCCTTACAATATTATCAATAGGATCAACAGGATTTGATGTGTTGAACTGCAAGCTCAATATCTCCATCTATCGGCACTTTTGCTGTACCACCTCCAAGGCAGAAGTTTTGGGTCTACCTTTCGTGTATCTCTGGTGACGTCACAGTAGAGCAAGTACGTGAACTGGCGATGCAGAGGTTAGGAATAAATGACGTTGAGACATTCAGACTAGTCGCCAATGGGTAAGAATGTCAGCAGTCTGTCATTCATTTCGTTCAAACTTGGTATGAGTCCTGAGCTGAAAGCAAAGGCTCTTTCGACTGCAACGTGGCCAAAGCGAATACTATTCCGTGAGTTCAAGGACAACATGAATGTTACAAATTTTTGGAACCCTTCTCGAACGCCAAATGCCAATTTATTCCCCAGAATGGAGTCACCCAATTACCCGGATCACCAAGACAACGCCATGACATAATAAGTGACAAATCCCATCACTGCACAGAGCTCGTCAACCAACCTGTTCCTGAATGGCCGGTTTCGTCATTACCATCTTCTTTGACACATGTTTCACTTGTCTCTACCGAACTTCATCCAAACTCTTTGCCAGTCCAGCAAATTCCATTTGGCTTTTATCAGCCACAGTTAGGCAGCTGTACACTGGGACGCACCGAAGTTGGCCTCATGGAAGCCATTGTACTAGATTGGGACGACTTATTGGACACCATTGACTTTGAGTCCGCCGTTCAAACTATTTCCAATGTCTTGGCATATATCATTGACAGACACGTTCCGAAAAAGATTCATCATCATAGACCTTTTTGACGTTTAATCGTCTTTCTCTATCTAGCGCACATGGATGAATGGACGGTTTATTTTCCCACTAATCTGTTTCCCTCTTGCTCGCACTCGTTCGATTTAAATGGTGCAGTAGCAACAATCAATACGAAACTAACGATTTTAAATTGGCTCACCACTTTAGTAGCCTATTGGTCCCAAGCAAACGATTAACGTACCCTATTCTTGTTGAAATTCTATTACTACACTATGTTTGTTTTGATTCGCTATGAAAGTTTGACAGATAACATCAGGGGTGTGTGGATTCATGCAGAACATGCAGGGGTGAGTGAAATAGCTTGAGACTGCTTGGGACCGTTGTTCTGGTACTGAGTGAGCCTAAAATAATAATGATTTTCTTCGGGACCCAGTGGTCTTAGAGTTACCTCTATGGCAGTAGTGTGCGCCGATTAAACTTCAAAAAGCTCTATACGACCCATCCACCATGGCTACGAGCGAATTTCGTCGACTGAAATCCAGAAAGAGAGCCGCTCTTAGGAAGTTCACCAAGCACCGCACACTATCCCTTCAACGTCACTATTAGTGAATTCGTTTATTATCGGGGTTGGAACCAGTTCCAACCCAGTGCGAAACCGAACTTTTTGTCAGTGCTTACCTCAACCTGAGCTAGGTTTTAAAAACAAACAAACAAACTGACGTTTGACAGAAAACAAGCAAACCCAATCTTTATACCCGATCGAGGTTGGAACTGAATAATAAACGAATTCGCTATATGTCAGGATCAATCACGCATACAAACGAGTTGCGAAACGGTGCTTTCTTCAGTATCGACGTGGATTGCAGAGAAAGCTTTAGTCACGTCCCAAGCAGTTTTGGAAGTTTGTCAACGAACAACGTCATGAAGCTGGTCTGCCGTCGTCTATGACACATAATGGTAACGTGGCCTCATCTACGCAAGATATCTGTCAGCTGTTCTCTGAAAAATTTGCTAGTGTCTTCACGGACGAGAGACTGAGTGACGACCATGCCCGACTGGCTGCCAGTTACGTGCCACTCTCTGGCCAAACCATGAGCAGAATTGACATCAATCCCGAGATGTTTTTCAGGGCTTCCTCGAAACTCAAGTTGTCGTACAATCCGGGTCCTGACGGAATTCCATCGCCGTTCCTCAAAACGCACTTGGACAGTTTGTTGTCTCCACTGCTGCACGTTTTTCAACTGTCTGTGGACGTCGGAGTTTTCCCATCCTGTTGGAAGCTAGCGCACATGTTTCCAGTACATAAAAAAGGCAACAAACAGGACGTTGGCAACTACCGTGGCATTACTTCGCTTAGCGCTGTTGCTCGTTGTTATGGAACCGTTACTCGCTCACTGTAAGCCGTATATTAGTATCGACCAGCATGGTTTCATGGCTGGTCGTTCCACTGCCACTAACTTGCTGTGCCTTACTTCCTACACCTCTAACAGTATGT